TCCCTCTCTCTGGTGAGCACGTGTTCCCTATGGCAAAAACCTAAAAATAATTAATTAATTAATTAATAATAAATATAAAAACAAGAAACTGGGAGGGTTATATCTAACTTCATGTTTAGACTTGTAGCTTGCTTCATTCAGATGCAACCATTTTCTTCCCTACTTGATGTTATGTAAAGAACAAGAAATCATTGAGAATGATGTTAAGGTTTCTACATGGAGTTGAGTAGCTAGTTTGGAAAGTAACTAAAATATGAATAAAATAGGGAACACAGGTTGAAGAAGGAAAAAGAAGGTCAAGTTCATACTAGAATCATATACAGATAGAAACATTCAATGGGAAAGTCAAGGGACTGGAAGCTACTGGGATTCCAAAATTATTGAATAAAACTAGAAAAGGTAACCAAAGAAAAGAGCCTCCCCCCCCAAAGGAAAGCCAGCACACTTCAAATGCAGCTGAGAAGATTGCCATTTAAAGGAGAACTGGTGGTAAATATTTTTCTAAAGCATAAATCATAGTATTAAGTTTCACAAATTTAGATATTTGTAAATAAAATGTTTTTTGGCATGAACAAATCTTCCATAAATAAAATACAGAATTGAAAGAAGAAGCAATTTGTGAAAGAAATAGATTTGTTTTAGGTGTAATACACAATCAGAAATCCAAAAGAGATAGCTAAAATAATAATAATAGTATTAAATTTTTTGAGTCTTGCCTCATCCAAAAATATAGGTATAGTACATATTAGAAAAGAGATAACATTCCAACTTGTTGAAATATTAAATATGAAAGTGTCCATGACTGCAACTTCTTACATCTGAACTGCAAGAGCTGAATAAGCTATTTAAATACAACAGAGACTCCCCCAATCATAATACCTTAATTTTGTTGTATCGTGTATGCAGAAGTAGTAACTGCAAACGAATCTTTTCTTTTTTATTATCCTCCATGGGTTGATGTAACATTTGTTCTCCTCTTTGTAAAACTTTCTCAATCTGGGCTCTCTCCTCATCCATCTGAATGTTGAAACAGAAAAACTTTACTCAAAAGAAAAATGCATAGAATCACTTGCTATTAGTAAGTGATTACCATTAGTAAATAGAAAAATTAACCTATGAAAAAGTGTTAGTCAAAGTATGTTAATCTGAATAATTAAAATGTTCATGTTTTCTTAAAATATTTTCATTTGAAGTTAAAATATTTCAAAGCTATTTTAGCTAGCATTGATAATGTTATATAATACTAAAGTATTTTTATAAAGTTAGATATCACTAAAAATTTTACCCTTAGTCAGAAAGTGTATCTGATGCTTTTAAGCATTACATAAATCACTTGAGAAATCTTTCTCTTTTTTTGGAGAGGTTTTTACTATAGGGCACGTGCGCTCGCCAGACAGACAGAGAGAGACAGAGAGACAGAAAGTGAGAAATCACCCCCCAGGGGGGATGGCCACATCACAATCCCTTCTCCTCCAGTCTCCTCTCAGGATCTTGGGCATGCACACACATGCACTCAGCATGAGTTTAAGCCACCGGGTCCGGGACGCGAACCGCGGTCAACTACGTGGGAGTGCAGCGACATAGCCATTACACAAACTACTGGTCCCCACTTGAGAAATCTTACATTGACATTCATCAGAAAATCACAATTGGATCAATTCCATCATGTCTGACAGATTAATGGTAAACATTATTGATATAAAATATAATTAACAGAGAATAAAAATTAGAACACCATAGTTTTGAAAATCTTGAACCAACCTTTTCATCTTCTTCAGTCATTTCCAAATGTTTTTCCACAACTTTTAACATATTTTCTATATCATTTTCTAGTTTTTCCAAGTCAGAGAAATGCACACCAGCCTCAGTTGTTTCAGTGGTGACCAAACATGGGTATAACAATGGTTTCTGACCAAGCAGCAACTGTAGAAGGAAAAGAGTTCTCTCAAAATGTATTCTTGACTTGACCTTCCATCATTCATCAGACAGGGTGTCAAGAAAGAAACTAGCATTTATCTAAATTGACGTTAATTTAAATCACTCATTAGTAATCACTTATTGAATCAATGTGGGCTCTCTTATTTACACTTTTCCTCCAAACTGTGGCCAGGAAACCATAGCTTCCTGGACCACTGTCTGGTGGATGTGCAGACCCCATGCGACCATAGTATGAAAAAGGCCATGATCCAAAAACTACCCCATCATGGCCACAGAAATACTCCCAAAGAATGTCTCCCTGTTAACATTCCTCAGTAGAACATTACTTGGATTTTGATACCTAAACTTCAAGAAAATATGTATTTCTCAAAGGGACACCCCACTGAAGATCTCCCTATTAACAATCCCCAGTAGAACATTACTTGGATTTTGAAATCTAAATTTCAAAGAAATACGTATTTCTCCATGCAATATTTCCAGATGATGTCTATAGAAAAATTTTATGTTTATGTAACTAAAACTTAAGATAACAATTTTAATAAAACTAAATACAGGAAAATAACATCCAATGTTGGTTAAGTGCAGGGAAACTAGCACTCACACACCCTGATTACAGAAGTACAAGTTGGCACCAAGTTTCTTTTCTTTTCTCTCTCTCTCTCTCTCTTTTTGTTTTTTGTTTGTTTGTTTGTTTTTGTTAGAGGGCACATGTGCTCACCAGAGAGACAGAGAGAGAAAAATCATCACCCAGGGGAATGGCCACACCACAATCCCTTCTCCTTCTTTATCCTCTTGGGATTTGGGGCACACATGCACTCGTGCCCAGCATGAGTTTTAAGTTACCAGGTCTGGGACTTGAACTGTGATTGACTACATGGGAGTCCAGCAACATAACCATTACTCCATCTGCTGGTTCCAGCACAAACTTTCTGATGGACTATTTGAAAAATCAGTTTAGCAATCTTTATGTGCATAAATTCTGCAATAATTTCAAGGAATCTTAATAAGTGATTGTAAGAGCATATTAAGAGATGAGTAAAAAAAGATCCGTATAAAAGAACTTTAACAAATACAATATTGGGGTCAGCAGGTGGTATGGTGGTTAAGGAGCTGGACTCCCACATGGTCAACTTTCAGTCTGAGTTCCAGACCTATAGCTTGCTTTCTCTCTCTCCTTCTCTCTCTCTTTGTCTCTCTCTGGTGAGTGCATGTGTCCTATAGAAAACTTTAAAATAATAATAATAATAAATAAAAAGTAAATAATTCTTAAAAAAATATATTTATAAGAGCACAAGAAAAGTGGAAAGTCACTTAGAAAATTGTAACAGGTAATATAATTCAATATAGTTATTAAAAACCATGTCAAACAATAATACAATAAACAATATACAATTTCAATACTTTAATATCAGACATATGAAAAATAATAGACATATATATGAAAATTTTTAAGAGGTTGTTTTAAGACAATGGTAATTTTGTTTCTTTATATAACTTTCACCCCAACCCAGTATCTTGTGCGTTGTTTTTATAACAAGAAAATCCCCCATAGAACTATTGAAAAGAATAAAATGAGCTTAGGTAAGAAAGTAAGAAAGTTAGATCAAGGCCAAAAAAGACAAAAGCTAAGGCAAGATTTTTGTTTGTCTTCTTTAAGTGGTGAGTTGTGAATAACCTAAGTATATTTGCAGGCTACAAAATATAATTGGGTTTACTATATCATATAGGTCAACTAAAGTAAAGTTGCACAAGATTACTTCAGGCAAAAAAGGAGATTCTTCCCTCTCTGAAAATACAACACAACTCTCTTGAGGTTGAATTAACTGAACACACAAACAATGCCATCCCATGGGTACAACTGAGATCCCGTAAAAACAGAACTATAAATCAGACTGAATGCCTGGTTCAAATGACCCTGAAGTCAGTTATTACTTTTCCTCCTCCAAATCATCAAAATGTTTTTATCTTTTCAATTTAATATTTACAGAGTAGCCACTATATGACAAGTCTTGAGAATACTACAATAAAATATTTCCTTTCTTCCACTCATAAAACGAATGAGAAAGATACATATACAGACGCAGGTAGAAACATAACATAGTACTACAAATAAACTATTTAAAAGAAAGCTCTTATTTATTACTCTATTAAATCTGTAAAGTTCTTTTTTAAATTTACAAAATTAGGTAGCATCTCTCCATATTTGATCTGAATTGTGAAATTACCTGTAACTTTTAGATCTGTCAACATGTTAAAAACAAAAAAATGGGTCAGTAGGTAGCATGGTGGTTAAGGTACTGGATTCCCACATGGCCAACCACAGTTTGAGTCCCAGACCCAAATGTGACTTGAAAATCACATTGCACATATGCACGTGGGTGCCCCAAATCATGAGAGAGGAATGGAGGAGAAGGGGTTGCAGGATGGCCATCTCTCAGGGGAAGTAACTTCTTACTTTCCATCTCTCTGTCTCTCTCCGGCAAGTGCACACACCTTATGGCAAAACACTTAAAAAAAAAAAAAATAGTTAACAGTGTATGCAACGCGGGACCAGGAGCTGGCATAATGGCTCTGGACTCCCATATAGTCGACCATGGTTCAAGTCCTGGACCCAGTAGCTTAAACTCATGCTGGGTGCATGAACGTGCATGCCCAAGATCCCAAGAAGAGAATGGAGGAGAAGGGATTGCGGCATGGCCATCCCTTCTTGCGGGGTGATTTCTTGCTTTCTGTCTCTCTTTCTTTCTCTTTCTGGCAAGTGCACGCACCCTATAGAAAAACCTCTCCAAAAAAAAGTGTATGCAATGTGAACAATCTATAAAGTATGACTATTGACTAATGGGTTAATGGCTAGTAGGTGGTGTGGAGGTTCAGGCATGTGGCTTCCACATGGCCAGCAGCACAGTTCAAGTCCCCAACGTGGTGGCTTGAAAAATCACACCTCGCACGTGACCAAAAACCTGAGAGGAGGCTGGAGGAGAAGGGATTGCAGCATCACCGAAATCAGAGGGTGATTTCTCATCTTTCCTCTCTCTGAATCTCTCTGGAGCACATACAAGCCCTATACCAAAAAAAAAATAAATAAATTTAAAAAAAATCATAATTAACATAGAAATTAGTGTCACCATTGCATAGCCAATTCTAATCTTTGATTGAATCTTTGAAATCTTTTCTTCGATGGGTTATTTTTCTTCAATACTAATACCTTTTTTCTTTCTCTCATATGTATAATCACAAATAAATAAATATAAAGACTTCATTCAAAGTAAAAGTGATTGAAATAAGTTTTATGTTTTTGATGTATATAATACATCATCATCTGTGATTTAGATACGTACCTGTAGGAAAAATGGTTTTCTATAAAAATACCATTACTCACTTTGGCACTTTTGATATGTTGAGACACCTTTTCAAAGTTTCTATTCAGTTCAGCTAATTTCGGTTCTACAAGCTCCCTGCTTGAGCTCCCACGGGCATTCATCAAAACAATGGCTTGATCTCTGACGTTTTCAACCTGGAGGCTGGCATCATCCAACTCAGATATTAAGCGCTAATTGAAAGAAAACAAAGAAGTTATCAAATGGAAAAAATCAAAACCAAATATGGGTTTGTTGCTTACTTAGAATTAAAGATAATTTAGGAGCTGGCAGATGGCATGGCGGTTGAAGTGCTAGACTCCCACATGGCTGACCACGGTTTAAGTTCGGACCTGGTGGCTTGCTTTCACACTTTCTCTCTCTCTCTCTCTCCCTCTATCTCTCTGGTCAAGTTAAAAATCACAATAATGAATAATCTTTAAAAAATTAACGGTAGTTTAAATAAATGCCTGGGATTCCAAGTAAAAGATTTCCACGTGATCAATTAGAGTAAGAGCTGTTCACTTAAGACTCCTTAGAGACCTTAGTTTCTCCCACCAAATTGTATGTTCATGAATCCATCATTTGCTACCTTCACAATTTCTTCCTGTTTACTTGCTGTTTTTTTTTCAATCTCATCCAACAGAGCTTCTGCTTGATAAAGCCAGGTACTTATGTGAGCGACATTTCCATCAAATATTTCCAGCTGGTTCTGATGGGTCTGCAAAAGAATTAATGAAACACTGACACAATCATATGAAATGTTTAAGGAAATAATCTTAGAAGAGATTTAAAAGACCTTCAAAGAGTAAATTCTATGTGAAATGTATAAAGGGTTTCCACTTTTCTGCAAAGTTCTTCAGTGAATAAATCTCATTCCTGAAAATGCACAGCAGTGGTTAAGAACTTTTTAAATATATTTTATATTAGACCTCACCACAATAAAATTTGGAATAGAACAAAAAGTGAAAGTTTCTTTTTCAATTTCATTTCAAATTTGTCTTTTATTTCTTTTATATTAAGACTGATCTCATTTTCCCCCTCATCATACTTTTTTAAACTCATTTAAGAAAATAATATAAAAGAATGATAATTGTATAATGATAATCTGAAATCATAAATTACAATGAATATTTTTTAGCAAGTTTGATGGAAATATGAATCTATAAGATTCTGCCTACCCAATAGACATAACTGTTTAAAACACAAAGGCTTTACTTTTTCATTCAGTGTCACCAGAACTTAATTTTATACCTAAAAAAAACATAGGATGTGACTGAAAAAATAGGTTTGAAAACAGAAGCAAACAGTTAAGCAGGTATAACAGAGCACTTGTTGAGGCTAGGGAAAAAGTCAGAGCTTGACCAAACTGGGGATGGTGAGATACAATTTATACCTTTTAGGAACTATTTTTCAAAGGAAAAGGAAAGTAGAAAAACATATAAAATAATACAGGTTTAGAAAGGAAACAAACTGGGCCAACCAGTGGCGTGGTACTAAAGGAGGCTGGATTCCACACAGCCAACTGCACAGTTGAAGTCCTGGACTGGGCAGCTTGAAAAACACATGGGGCACATGTGCATGCATACCCAAAGTTCCTAGAGGAGGGAGAGTTGGAGGAGAAGAATTGTAGTCTGATCATATCCATGGAGGGGGTTTCATCACTTTCTCTCTCTCTCTCTTCTTTCTCTGTCTCTCTCCAGCAAGTGTACATGGCCCCTGGCCAAAAAAATAACTATAATGTGGAGTGATAATTTTTAAGAGGAAATGTAAACTAATAAATAATAAGTGAAATGTTTTGACGGTGACCTGGATTCTAAGAAGAATAAATATGCCTCAGACTTATTTATCTTGTAAGGCAAGAAATCAAATGTTCTAATAGAACTTGAAAGATATTAATTGAAATAAGAATTCAGAAGGTACAGACTGAAGAATACAGAGTAAGGGTCTTAATAATGCAGAATAAAGCTAGTAATCATTAAAAAAAAGAAAATATAAAACATTTAATGATGTAGTCTTTGAGCCTATAATCTCATAATCATTATTATAGTCAACATTTAACAACTACATTATTATAGACCCATACTTCTAAATATTTATAATACTCTTTTTATTACTGTCTTTCATTCCCAGTGCATTTTGATTATGATTTCTGGTTTATAGATAATCACTGTACATCTTAGTGGGATATAGTGTAGTTTTTTTTGTTTTTGGTTTTTTGGGTTTGCTTTTTTATTTATTTATTTATTTATTTATTTATTTATTTATTTATTTATTGAGAGATGTTTGCTATAGGGTGCGTCTCGCTGGAGAGACAGAGAGACAGAAAGCAAGAAATCACCTCCTGGGGGATGGTCATGCTGTAGTCCCTTCCCCTTCATTCTCCTCTCCAGTTTTTGAGCATGTACATACACCTGGGGTGAATTTCAAGCTGTCAGGTCTGTGTCTTGAACCACACCTTTACCACCATGCCATTTTTTTGCTGAACCCCAGTGTGGTGTTCAAGGCATACGTGTAATAGCAAATCACAGTGTGCAATAACTCAGATCAAGGGTATAGACACACTCATTTTGCTCAATACTGCACATTACATTATGATGCACACATTAAATAATAGTTCTATGATTTGTGGGGGGAAGTATTTACTGAATTGTCAAGGACATTTTTTACTCTGCTTTGGTCTACCCTTCCATAACCTATCTAATTTTCATATACATTCTTGTGTTTGTTAATCATTTTCTCCCAACCCCTCCCTGCAGCTTACATACCCCTTACCTCTATGCAGCTTCTGGTATCTACTCTTCCTCTTCTCTCTACTGCTATAGATTTCTGTTCCATATATATGGAAATTGAAGCTTTGTGACATTAAATAATTCACCTGAGGTTATGCTGATGGTAAATCATAGACTGTGGAAATGAATCTATGACACATCAAGACCTAAGCCCATAATCTTCACTGCCCTACACATCCTTAATGACTTGTACAAATGCCCAAACACATAAAAAAATTTTTTTGTCTCTATCCATTACTTACTAATTCTATGATTTTAATAAGAGGACTATCTCAGACTTGTCAGAATAAAAGAATTATTTGTAAATGACAATTTATTCTATGGTAGGGTAAGTTGGGCTTGCCCTATATGCATTGTCAGTATGAGAAGGACAGAAAATCACTGTGAAAATTAAATGGTCAATATTTCCATAAAATAATTAACAGTATAATAGTATAACAAAAGACTAACATATAACATTTAGAATGATCACGAATGTCATCATAATTATATTTAAAATAGATTATTTTATGTATAATTACTTAAAGCAGTACATGTTTTTTTAAAGAATTATTTTATTTAACTTTATTTTATTTATTTATTTTTGTTGGGCCAGAGAGGGACAGAATGAGAGAGAGAGTGAGAAAGCAAGCCACTAGGTCCAGTAGTTGAACCATGGTCAATCATATGGAAGTCCAGAGCCCTTAACCACCACACCACCTGCCAACCCCAAAGCACTATGTGTTTTAACTCATGTACTCATCACAAAAAGTGTATGAGGAAGGAATTTTAGTAATACCTATTTTACAAATGAGAAAACTGAGGCTTAGAGAACATTTAATAAACTTGACTAATGGCCACATGACTAATTGTCAAAGTTTTTACATTGCCCATGAGATGATGGAACTTGTGCTCTTAATTTGTACAGTCAGCATTAGAACATCTATAAAGACTATATACTCTATAAGTACCTCATGTTCACGTCAAAATAACATTAAATATGAAATCATTAAAACAAAACACAAAAGGTATATTTGCTAAACTATTAAAGCGCATATTTCTATGTATACCATAAATATTTTATTTCTTAGAAGAGGGGTACTGAATTCTTTCTACTTACTACCTTTTTCATGAGAAAATAAAATGTAGTCTTCATAAAATTAATTCACAAGCAAAACATTACTCTGACACACCAAAAAGATACAGCACATGCACTTGCTGGAGTGACAGAGACAGAGAGACAGAAAGCAAGAAGTCAACTCCCCAGGGGCATGGTCATGCTGCAATCCCTTTTCCTCCATTCTCTTCTTGGGATTTTGGGCACACATGCATATGTGCCCGACATGAATTTCAAGCCTCCAGGTGCAAGACTTGAACCACAATCACCCACATGGGAATCCAGCACCTTAACCACTATACCACATGCTGGCCCCCAAAATCGCATTCATTTCTAAATCATTAAAAAGAAGAGAAGATTTCATCATTAAATTTTCATACCATCAATGTATTGCACCAATCCTCAGTCCAGGTGCGAACTCGACTCCACCCAGCATTGAGGACGCAAAGTCTCTCTTCTAAAACAGGCTCACTGCCCTCAATCAAGTTCTGGAGGGCAGCACTACTCTCTGTGATGGTATTTAAATCAGCTTTTCTCTTTTCCAGATCCTTCAGAACATTCTAGAAGATAAAAACAAGACCCACTTTATCTCTCAGAACATTACAAAAGTTTATACAGTCTTATCTTCCACGTCTAAACAGTAGTCTGTGACTCCCTAGATCATTCACAATATGCCAAAGATTTTAAAAACTCCTTAATATACTAATATGGTGAGAGTTCTTAAGTTCTTCATAAAAGCTAAAATGTTTAGTTAAGTGAATATGAAAGAATGAAGTAAATTCAAATGTGGAAATGTAATTATTTCATTTAAGTATAAGTTACATTTATTCCACACAAACATCAATTATCTTCATCATAACCCTAAAAGTAAAGAATTAATTTCATTTTTAGTAAATATGAGCTACACAGCACAGAAATCCCAGAACTAATAATTCTTTAAAACCTCATGAGTATATCTCCTAGATTACCAGAGAAACTATCAATGTGTACTATAACGATCTGCAATCTACAGGATGCAACTACATGCCTTACGATATAATCTGCTGTATAAACATTGTGACAAATATTTCACTTTAAGTAAGTAATTTGCTGGAAAACAGTAAATCTAAGCTTTGATCTTACAACTTGTAAATCTTACAATTTGTAATAATATGCAAAGATAATATTCTGAATGGTATAATGATGTGATTCTCACATTCCTAAGTTCGACGGAGCAAAGCATAGAGTCACAGAATCATAGAGAGAGAATAGGGTTCCAAAATTAAAATTTCAAAGTTCTTTCCATTAAAAAGCAACATGCACATATCTAGCCTACATATTTGCCCCCCTTTTAAGTGGTCACAGCTTTGTAAACCAACATTTAAACCAATCATTTCAAGCAACTCAAGCTGATATTTAAACATTAAATCACATTTTGAAAAGTATAGGAATTGCAAATTCACAAGTGAGTCAAGGTTTAAATATTCTCTTTTATAAGGTAAGGCTCTAATCTTATCTTGTGCCTGTGTATGTTAATACAGTCCTAAAATAAAATTAAGATAACCCAGTATTCTTTGGTTATTGAAAACGTTCTTTCCTGTATGTTTTGTATCATGCTATGCAAAATTCATTCAAATGGCTTACATATATGACTCCTGTTATTAATAAAAAAAATAATGATTTTCAAAGTGTACTAAAGAAAGATAATATTTTTTTGAAGAACTTAAATTTAACAAAAACTAAGTTTGGTGCCTTTATTTTGCATTCATCTACAATACTCTGATGACTTGCAATGTTGACTTCCCCCACACAACTCTTTCTCCGTCTCCTTTTCACTCTTCTCACAGCTAATAGCATAGTCACACTTCTCATGAACTATTTTCAAACAAGGATTATTCTTTTCAGCGACTAATATCTTGTCTTACTCTCAAGCATCATCTCTAGAGAGCTTCAAAGTAAACAGATATTGGATCACCCACCACCTAACAGATCCTTCTCTTGAAGGTCCACAGTGACATCTGTCAATGTCCAAGCTCATACTAATGGCTTTACATAAATATCTGTCATGGTAACAATAATTTATTTTCAACATTTTTTAAGAGAGATTTTTGCTGTAGGGTACGTGCTAGAAGACAGAAAGTGACAAATCACCCGCTGGAGGGATGGCCATGCCACAATCCCTTCTCCTCCATTCTCCTCCTGGATCTTGGGCATGCAAGTGCCTGGTGTGAGTCTCAAGCTGCCAGGTCCAGGACTCAAACCATACCCAACCATTTGGGAGTCCAGTAACATAACCATTACACCATCTGCTAGTCCTTATTTTCAGTACTTCTTTCTAGTATACTTACTTTTATCTTAGAAAATAAATTTAGGAAAACAATTTAAATGCCTTGGCAAGAGAATGACTTTGTACTCCATTCAATTCTTTGTCCACCTCAGAAGATACAAATTAGCAAATCAACTCTCAAATCTCTCTGATTTCAAATTAACTATTGGGCTAAAGAAAGCACTTGTATTTTTTTTCCTTTTAATATTCTTTATGTAAGTTAGTTGCAATAGGGAGATTAATTATTGAAACAAAAGTTATTAGGGAAGAATGAAATTAAGCACAATACTGTGTAAAGATTGAATACTCAAAAAAGGTCACTGATTTTGAAAGTGGTTAATTATTGGGTTGTCAGGAAAGTCATGATGAATTTTTGCATAGAAAAATACATACGGCTTTCCCGACAACCTTATACAATGTTTTATACCCCACCCAAGCATAATGCCTCTAAAAGCCATCATGATCCATGTGAGTTTAATGTTTTTGGAATTGACACAAACATATCTTGTTAAAGTCATTGTTTTCAAAATATTCTTCTTAGGGCAGAGAAATGTAAAAAAGGATGAGAAAGGGAAAAGCAATATTTAATATGGAATGGAGGGAAACAGCACCCAGACTGCCTGGTACAAGTGCCACAGGTTACGCTGGCATGATACTGATGGTTCATCGAAACTGTGACTTACTTTGGCCCAGGAAATTTCTGTATCCAAGTCACCAAGCGAGCCCTCTGAAGTGGATTTCTGCACCAATTCCATTTCAGTACCAGAAAGCCACTCCGAGAGAGAAGCAGCCTCTTTCTTCATTTTACGAGCCAACTGTGATGCTCTTTCCAGATCCTGCTTTCCTTCTGTCACCTAAAAAGAAAAAAAAGGGGGGTTTGGGTGGGGAGATTGAGGTTGAAATAGGAATGAACATGAAGGAAAGAACTCAGCATATTCACTAAAATATACAAACAAACTCATTTTTAACCCCCAAGACACACATAACCTTCATCTTGGAAGGTTAGCATCCTTCCAATCTTGCACGTCTACAAAGAGACAATACACTGCAGTGGTTAAGTATTTTTTATTTTAATTTATTAAAACTAAAACTACCTTTCTTGAAATTAAAAAACGTACTTAAAAATACTGTGTTATGACCACAGTAAGCTATATAGCCTCAGATAGGTGCTACTTCATAGTTTATTCATTTTACTCACAGAGTTTCATGCCTAAAGTCAATGTGTTCACAGTTATGTATATATTAGCTGAACTCGCTATTGAAAGTATTTCAATTAATTAAGACATTTTGTGAATCAAGGAATATATATATATATATATATATATGCTATATACAAGAAACAAGAAATAGAAAATTATTTGTTGATGATAAGATGTATGACTAAGCCACTTCACAGTGTATGCTGACTGGAAAATCACATTTTGTATGCTGGGATGATGTTCAGTGAAAGTATGTAAAATAAATAAATTAATCACTTTTTTTTTTTTAAAGTATCAGGTAACCGTGGGTTCTCAGCTTGGCTGTCCCTTCCTAAGTAACTAAGGTAGAGGTATAGCCCTCAGAAGATTGATATGAGCATTAAATAAGTAAGCACACATACAAAGGGGCTGGCCTGTTTTGGGAAGAAAGTTAAGGAATCAATAAATGGTAGTTATTATAATTTTGCACAGAAGATATCTTAGAATTATCTCAACAAAAGACTTCATTTTAAAGCACATACATTCTATTAAAGCAATTCGATGGGGAAATGTCACTATTTTCAAAATTGTATGTTTTCCACTTAGGCACATCGCTTTAAATTCAGTATATGACTATGCAACATAAACCTTATTATTTTGTTTTTATTGCTGCTGTCAGAAAGCAAAATAAACTGAACTCACATTTACCAGGCTCTTACAAGCTTCGGCATTGCACTAGGGAATCCTATACATTACACAGCAAAATCCACAACAACCTCTGTGGTAGACACTATTCCTTCCACTATATCAGTAAGGAAAATGAAGCTTAAAGAGGTGAAGGCCAAGATTAAGTGGCACAGTCACTGAAGTAAGCCTTGTGTGACTGTTACAAGATGGTACCATCGAACTAAGAGCAATCGTTCACAATTCAGTGTAAGTTGCGAAGACACATCACAGGATTTCACGACACATAAATAGAGTTCTTATTTTTATGTGCACATGTGTACAGATAACAATGTCATAAGAAAGTAATATGTCATAAAGAGCTGAAATTTTCTTACATGATATAAATGACATGAAGACTTAACTTGGTTAAGAAGTAACAAATAACTACATTTGATTTTCACTGGTCCCCTAGGTTAAGTTTAATTTTTTCATGGCTAAGGGACAGACTGTCACTAAATTCCTTGCTCAAGTTAAATATTTTCTTCCACCGAGTTTAGTTAGAATTCATGACTTAATTCATAGAATTAATTCATAAATTAACAGTATCTCAGTGCAGACTTTAAGAGACAACTACTTGAATTGTATTGAAAGACATTATGTATTCAAGTAATATTTTTCTGACTTGACAAGCTCAGGCAGCTACATAATCATCATAAAATATAATGCTGCTAAAGATCTGTACATGGCAGAAAAAAATAATTTATAGCTCAACTTATAATAATTTATACTTTTTCAATCGAATCAATACATTTCAAGATGTACTGCATAGAGAATTAGGTAATATCAAGTTGTAAATCCTCTATGTAACCACTTATCCCTTCTCCCTCTTGGATATTCAACCATTTTTTTTTCTCAAAGGGATCACTCCCATAAGTTAGTAAATAGATTCAATTCTCACACTCAGAAACACTTGTTTTTTTTTTTTTTTTTCCTTCTTTGGCCCCACATTCCCTAAACACCTTCCTCTTTCCCATATAAATTCTCGAACCCATCTTTTTAAAGTGCTATTGCCATTTCTTCATCTCCACGCATAGCTCAAGCCATGCCATTCTGGTTTCTACCCTCATCACTCCACAGAAACAGCCCTTGCTAATTTCTTTAACTATTTTTAATGATTTAATTAATTAATAATTAATTTTTATTTGACCAGAGAGAGACAGAGACCAAAAGAGTGGAAAAGTGAGAAAGCAAGTGCTACCTGGTTCAGGACTCAAACCACAGTCAGTCATGCGGGAATCCAGTGTCTCAACCACCAAGCCACCTGTTGGCCCTACCCTTGCTAATTTCAATCATGACCCCCCAATGGTAACACATCTAATGGACATTTTTAAGCGGATGTCATATTTAACTTTCGATAATATTCAAAACAGTAATTCTCAAATATACTAGGTAGATCTAGCCCACTCCTGGCGTGTCTACCTACCACTTCTTACTACTTATTTTAGTCCTTTTGCAAGCTCATCTCCCTCAAATTTCTTACTACGTAACGCAATTCCTAAGACTCAGTAAGGGGCCTTCTTTTTTCATTATAGTCTATCCCTTTGCAATCTATCATTTCTGAAAACTGAATTACCATCTCTGTGTAGCTGCTCATAAATCCATTTCTCAGTTCAGATATATTCTCTAAACCTGAACAACCATGTGAATACATGACATCTCCAAATAACTCACTCAAAGGCACTTAAAATATCAACATATTTTATAGGTGCTAATGATTCCTGCAGGACCCCACCTATCCATTCAGCACCCCATACTCAATGATAAGACCATGATCATCCATGTAATCAAGCCAGAAACCCAGGAGTCATCTTTCATCTCTCTCTCTCTCCTATGCCCCCATCTAATCCTTCACCAAATCCTATTGACTTCATTTCCACATATCTCTGAAATCGGTCCATTCTCTCCATCTCCACAGACCCCTGCTGATGTGAGTCACCATCATCTCTCATGATGAGTACAGCAATGACTTTCTAACTGGTCTTCTCACATCCAGTCCTGCTTCTCTCCAATTCATCCTCAAACTGTAGTGAATGACCTTTTAAAAAATGCATAGCTGGGAGTCAGCAGGTGGCGTGGTGGTCGAGGCACTGGACTTCCACGTGGCCAACCACAGTTTCAAGTCCCAGACCTGGCAGCTTGCTTACTCACTCTCTCTCTCTCTCTCTCTCTCTCTCTCTGGTGAAGGTATGTGCCCTGTGGCAAATTAAAATGTAATGATTATGATAAAATAAGAATTAAATAAATTTTTTAAAAAATGTATATTTTATCATGTTATCTCCTTTCTAAAAGTCCTGCAGTAGCTGCTTATGTTTTCTTAAGGCAGAGATTAAGATCTCTACACAAGCAAAGGCTGCCAAGTGACATAGTGTTAAGGGCACTGGATTCCCACATGGCCGAGCACTGCTTGAGTTCCAGACCTGGTGGCTTGCTTTCTCACTTTTCCCTCTCTCTCTCTCTTTCACTTTGTCTGTCTCTGGTCAAATTTAAATAAATAAATTAAATTAAATTTTAAAAAATTCTTTGAAAATAAATCTTTATATAAGCTCTAAGGCACAGGCAGGGTTTTTCTTCATCCTATCTCCCCAACACTTGTATTCTACACCCGGGCTCTCTCGGCTTTATAGACATG